CCCCCCACCTCCTGGTAAAACGTCTTATCCATCCCCCTAAAAGAGTTTCTTACATGCAATTCTTTGGGTAGTGGCTAAGCGCGACACCAGTGTTTCTTTCAGACTTTTTCCTCCCAGGAGGGGGGGGGGGGACTTTTTCTAATCTAAAAAGTGTTTAGCGTGCAGTTTTTTTTTCATCTCTTCCGGTAGTGGCGAAGCCCCGCCCAGATTCTTCTTTTGGTTTGTATGATCTACAAATGCGACCAGTGTTTCTTTCAGACTTTTTCCTCCCCGGAGAGGGGTGGGGGGTACTTGAAATTTTCGGGGGCGGGGGTAGAATTTTCTGGGAGGGGGCGGACACTGGAAAAAAATTTAATTCTATTTTGTTGAATGGGACGGTAGACATATTTTTGGGGAGGGGATGGGGTGTGGGGGGGGCGTAGCCCCCTCCTCCAAAGTAGAGTTGCCTGAAAGAAACTCTAAATGCGACTTTTGACATGAATGAGATTAGGTGCATGGTTTAGGGTTATGCCTATGACTATATTTTGTATAAATTAAAGTACCGAGAAAATAGACAGCACTATCAACCTAGCGCCCGTTGTATCCTTCCTCAACGGGCCATTTTTCTCGTAAGTAAATAATTGTGTAAAAATAAACCGGGAGTGATCTCCCCTAAACTTTCCCGAATATTCTTATATAACTTGGAATGTAGACATGATTTTTAATTACTTAAACTTTTAAAAATAGAATAGAATCTCATAGAAAAAAGAATTGCGCACCAAGCGAACGCAAAAACAAAATGTGCATAATAGTGCGCAATATTATTAATACTTTATAAATTTACTTGCGTTTTTTTGAGAAATCGGAAATAGCGTAAATTAGTACTTTCGGTCAACGGAAATGACTCAAAATTTGACAGAAGGTAGAAAATTAGATCTTTTACTTACATGTGAAATTTCATTTATCTATCTGAAACAGTACTCAAGTTATAGGCTTTTGAAAAATTCAAAGTAGGAAAAGTAACACTTCCGGTTATCGGAAATCGCGCAGAAGTTGATACGGATCTACGATTTTAATAAAATAGTTATATATGCAATTTCATCAACTTAGCTGTAACGGTACTCAAGTTATCGTGTTTACACACAGACAGAAAGACAGTCAGACACACAGACATACGGACAAGATTGCAAAACTATGTTTTTCCGTATCAGTGAGGCGTAAAACGTCGAGATTTGTAAAAATCTCGATTTTTTTTGCACGATTACAATACTTTCTCTATACTTCGTATATACGAGAAAGTAAAAAATGGTGCATGTTTGTGGCAGATATGTTTGTGCATTATTTTGTTGGTGGAAGACTTGCACGCACAAAGTAAAAAACTGCAATAGGTTAGCATTGTGATATATTACTAAAAATATTTTCTTGTATTGATGACAAGAAAATATAAAATATTTTGTGATTATAAAATGTTAGTTCAATGGGATATTAGAAATTGATGTTTGCAGGTAAAATTGTATGTTAAGATACCTGTTGACCCAGTTAAGTGAATGGTTTTTTTAAAAAAAAAACGCAGTTGTATAAAAGAAACATTGCGATTGGGTATTGGTGTGTTGTATGCTAAATCTGTCCCGGCTAGAGCTAACATAGAACTGATTCACTTTATTAGGTTAATTATGTGAGCTAATTTACAAAAACACTTTAGGGCAGCGAGACAAAACAATATACAGATTCGTGTTTTGTAAATTTTTAAAATCAAATTTAGCTAAGTTATTTTTCATTCAATTTATTTGGTAAATTAGGTGAGCTATTTTTTAAATCACAATTTATGTCGCAGGGGAAAATATACTGAGACACTGTAACAGTTACCAAATAATAGAAACACAGTAAGGACCCAGCAACGAAACTGTAACGACATGTAACGACACTGTAACGACACTGTAACAGTTACCAAATAATAGAAACACAGTAAGGACCTAGCAACTACACTGTAACGACACTGTAACGACACTGTAACGACATTGTAACGACACTGTAACAACACTGTAACGATACTGTAAAGACACTGTAACGACACTGTAACGACTCAGAGACAACAGAAAGGCAAACAATTTTAACACAATGAAAAACGTAACTAGTAACTAAACGAGTCAAGTGATTGATTGACAAGTCGTATAGATTTGTTTATTGAAGCTTGTATCGTTGTTAATGTACAACAATATTGACAATTAATTATTATCAATGGGCATTTTAATTTTTTTTAAATTTCGAATTTTCAAAACTGACCTTCTATTTTCAAGATAATTGGGAAATATAAAGTTGATACACGCATACATCACCACTTCACCAAAATGAGTAATTAATCATTGTTCTTGAATGTGCACTTTTCGTGTGCTTCGTTTTTGTAATATGCTACTAAGTTTAGATACAATGTTCATATCCATGAAAGTCAGAATAAATAAAATGTTAAATTATAATTTTCTCCTATTTGTGGTGTGCATGTTGAAAAGTATTAAGATCCTGTTCGGTTACAATGATATAATAGCATATTTCTGGGTGATACTTTCCCGAATGAAACATATATGAATGAAATATATATATATATATATATATATATATATATATATATATATATATATATATATATATATATATATATATATATATATATATATATATATATGACTATAAAATAAAAATGAAAGCTACAATTTCGAAAAACTTAAATATTACAATACATAAACCATATAACAGATTTAAAGTATAAAAAATCTTATATATTTTATATGCTCGTGATACAAAAACGATAGACTGTCATGACAATGCGGGTTTAGTCTGAAGACAAGGACAAGACTGTCCTACCCAGGAGCAGTGACGTCAACAGTAGGACATTCCAGATCACAGCTGTGTGGCCTAAGATTAGAGGGAAATATGTCTAATATATTTTAAATAAACATACATTGTGGCCGGGCTTGATTATAAAATAGTTTTAATTAATGTCTTCTATTGATGTTACTTTTTTGTTTTGGCTAAGGTAAGTTGTCAGCCAACTCGTGTGCCGTCTGTAAATACATTTCATTTTTTTCATTGCGAGTTCTGAAAATTCATATTTGGTCTGATAGCTTTTTATATTTGATCTTACATTTTCTTATATTTGGTTCGATATTTTATATTGGTCTGGCATTTTCTTATATTAGCTATACCATTTTCTTATATTTGTAGATTTTTTCAGAAACCATACTTAATCCGTGAAAGAATTTCCTCGTCGTAAGTATTGATTACACAACTATAGCAGTCAAAGTTTTATAAATATTTTCCTGGTATTTAAACTATTTCAAATCTTATACGTGTAAGGTAGTGAGTACACCGTAAAAGAATACAGCACTCTTTGCTTTTTAATGCATTTAAAACAACTAACACTAACTTGAGTTGAACAAGTGACTACACTTAGACCTACAATATACACCGCAATCCGATGTAAAACCGGTGGAGATTTTTAGTTACCCGAGTTTTGTGGTAAAGAACAACGTCTAATTAGAATGAAATTACTTAATGAATCTGTCATGCAAATGAAGCCCAATAAATCATTTGTAAAAACACTCAAGAAATTATATGCAAATTATACTTTAGTAACATTTAGTAACTTTAGATCTTTGTAAAACCAGTCAAGGTAAAAAAATCGTTATCGTTTTTACTCGTTTGTGCACAAAACACACTGAGCAGATGAAGTGGATTTCATCTGTTTCAATGACCTGAGCACGCATGGGGATAGTGTGGTCAGTTTTATGCCTAGGCACATTTGCTTCTCAACGCGAGTCACGTTGCTTGGTCGGTCTACACGATCAAGCTCTACCATCGCACCCTCATAGTCCCATAAGTTCATATCTATTTAGGTTAAATTAACCACATTATATAACATTACGTAAAATAACTTAAGTTATAATACCCTAAAATACAATAACTTCCTGTAAACAACTTGAGTTTAAAAATAACTTCAGGTAAACAAGCTTTAGATTAAATAAATTAAACTTAAATATCTTACCTGTGCTAAAGACGAAAGAAGTTGTTTTTTTGTATAGTCCAGTAACGTGGTTCGCGGAGCAAGTACATGAGATTCTATGATCGCTGCTGGTGTAGGGGAGGTTAAACAATTCACTGTACCTGTTAATTGTAAATGTACTACCACCACATGTCAGGGTGATATCTGACACTCTTGGGTTTCCACCTTCAACAGTACATTGGATGGCCACAGAACGCCTGGATGTATCAAGCTGTACCGTCTGCCCCTCCGTCACAGTTTTGTTGTATACAACAACCACGGGGGGTTGGTCGGGAGGGTATAGGGTAGCTGGAAGAAAATTTGGATATATCCGATACATTGATTAAAAAAAATAGTTGTTTGTCTTTACAAGAGTCTGTTCGCCCGAGAGAATTATGGGTGTTCACTTACTTACTGACCTTCATTGAAATTATGAGCGTCGATTAAAATATCGACAGTGGTTGAAAATATGGGCATTAACAAAAATTATGGGCATCAACTAAAATTATGGGCATCAACTAAAATTATTGGTATCAACTAAATTATGGTCATTAAATAAAATTATAGGCGTCCATTGACTTGTGGGCTACCGATGGGATTTCTGTTTTCAGTGGAGTTTATTCACCCGCGTTCTCGATTGAAATTGTACATTAACATACATTAACGTACAAACACCACCCCCCACCACCACCCCACCCCTCCCCGGGCTTCACTGGGTCTGCGATAAAAAGACCCCGTCAAAAGACATAAGCTCTTGTCAAATAAATGGTAAGACTGTAGATTAAGCGACAGCAGCATATCAAGTCCTTGCTGTTCAATAGATTTCATTAAGCACCAACTGCAATTTAAGGGTTTTTTTTTAAATATAAAGCTTCCACAACTCATCAAGTACTTTCCGTTGAATAAACTTGCTAAAAAAATCATAAAAAACGTTTTAATAACAAGCTTTTATGTAATAATGTACTAAAAAGTAGAAAATAAATTATAGACTACTATTTAAATAACTATAAAGAAAAGCGTGGGTCACTTTAGTATCTATTGGATACCGTTACTAATGTTAAGGAAGACACCCACGCTTTTCTTTATAGTTATTTAAATAGTAGTCTATAATTTATTTTCTACTTTTTAGTGCATTATTACATAAAAGCTTGTTATTAAAACGTTTTTTATGATTTTTTTTTCAGTACTTTACATGTTTTATTTACAAAAGTTACATGACTAAAAAACCATTGCGCGCCTACTGAACATCACGTTCAGTAGGCGCGCAATGGTTTTTGAACGCAGCCATTACGTGATGGCGCAGCTATTGAAGGTGATGACGCGTGTGGTGTGGTTGGCTAGACATGCCTACTAATTCGGTTCAAATTTTAATTAATTCATAAAAAATTAATTAGGCATCCAATTAAGTCAAATTTAGTTTCAGATTGCATTGTCTTCATGTCTTGACCCACGTGCCAAGTGTGAATCGTATCGTTCAAGTAGAAGTTTTCGAATTTTCACTCCTGCGTTTCCGTCTAGACAGACTGACGACTGACGACAGAGGAAGTGAGTTAAATAAAAGCTTGTAAAAACATTACATTGTCGCTGCTCCTTAGGGCTCCCACATAAACTTTGTTCTTTCTTCACGGTTAACTCTTGCAATAGCAACTCCCTCTCCCCACTCTCGAATTCAGGTCGCACTATATCTTGTATATGAACACGTTTCTGGTCTTTAATCAGATATGTACGTGACCGTCATCAGCCATAGCATTTGTCAATCTTTCAAACTACAACGGTTTTAGAGGGTTGTAAAGTTTCTTTACGCGTCAGCATTATTCTTTAAACGCATACAAGTCGATGAATATTTTTCAAATCATAACCGAAGTTTAATTTAAATCTAATTTTGGATTTTAAACTTTAATTCCGAATTTGGGCAATCTAAACACCCACATCACCTCCAAACATCTGCATTCCAAGATTTGGAAAAGTTAAAATCCTTCTCCAATTCATTACTTATATAAGAAGTTTATTTTTCACCTGAATTCCAATGTTTTTTTATCTACTTCTGTACTAACAATAAGACACCGCAATGTGTTGTCAATTATTGTGGATATCTAAACCAATCTACACCTGAAGTAAACTAGACCATGAGTTATACAGGATATTAAGGACACAAACTTTATGATAGATCTTACCGTCAGCGGCAGATGAAACAGCCACACCTTGTTGAAAAAAAAAAACCATTTTTTTAGAAAAGATATGATTTAAAAAGTATGGTTAAAAACAATTACACCTTAAGAAAGCTTTTACATTTTTTACATGTGTGTTTATTAGGGAAGGGGTGGTGGGGGAAGAGGGGGAGGGAAGGGGTGTGTGTGTTCAGAATTTTGTGTTGATGTAAGACAAGAATAAGAATAATGTTAGAAAATAAATTTTAGTTTTTACAACGAGTTTTTATTTTTATTTTAGGGGTGAGGGGTAGGTGGATGGGGGAATCTGGCTATCGTGACGTTGTGCACAGAGGCATAGCAACCCCTCCCGTCGCCCGTGGACAAACTTTTAAATTGGCGCCCCCCCCCCCCCCCTCATAATTGTTTTATATTTATAATTCAAAACTGCACCCCTAGGACATATGTTGCCCCCTCCCCTACGAAAAGCTTAACGTCATATTTGGATGACCAATATATGGTCTTAAGCTAATTAACATAGTAAGCACATTTCGGAAATTAAAAAGTCAAAACTTACTCGACATAAGAAAAACCGTCGCCACGGCCGAAAATACGTTCAGATGCATAACAGGGTCTTTTTCAACAAACTGAAATTACATTTTTCTTTTGTTAACACACATTCATTATTTGTTAGTACCTTATCAATAAATAAACAACTTTCAAGAAACTTTACTAAGTTATACTTCTGTTCTGTTCTGAACTTGCTACACGTACACTATTGACGGGAGGTTCTAGAAAACACTTCACTCTCTCCTGTATTTATTCCAGCTCTGAAGTTGAAATGTTAAACTGTTTATCTAGCGCCCTCCTTATTAGTCCACTGAAAATTTTTAATTCTGGGAATTAGACCCACCTACACATATTTAGCCCACCCCACCATTAAGCTTTGGAATTTAAAAGGTGTTTAATACCCTTAGATAAGTTATTATTAGATATGTTTCTTGATACAGGAAAAACAAGTTTTGTCGTTGGATTAGAATTCATCTGTTGCTTCAGCTCACTGTGTCACCATTCGCAACGATGGGTGCATTCAAATTATTATTTCCTCTGGGCGTCAGTCGCAGAACCATATGGGCAATAGGGCTAGTAAGTAGGTCACCAACCAGTACTATGGCTCATGCAGGTTTTATTGAACCGTAGAACTGGTTGGTGACCTACTTACCGGCCCTATTGGGCTTCGTTAATGTGGGAAAGAAATATTTTCTCGAAAAGAATTATCTTGGTTGTTTAGTTGTTGTACAGCTGACATCTATCATGTGTAGAATATAATTATATTAAAGTAAATAAAAAAACAACGTGTTTAATTAATTTGTAGTTGTATTTTCTTTATGGTTAGAACTTTAAGCTGATAAACCCTTCAGCAACGTATTGGAATTATATAAGGCAGTTCATATTCAGAACCTTTATGCATAATTCGTATATTACTTTGACATTTTATAAAAATTTTAAAATGTTATATGTTAATATAATAATATATATCTAAATATATATATATATATATATATATATATATATATATATATATATATATATATATATATATATATATATATATATATATATATATATATATACATATATATATATATATATACATATATATATATATATATATATATATATATATATATATATATATATATATATATATATTTATAAATACATACATATGTATACACATATACATACATATATATACATACATACTATCATATATATATATATATATATATATATATATATATATATATATATATATATATAGATATATATATATATTTATACATACATATGTATACACATATACATACATATATATACATACATACTATTATATATATATATATATATATATATATATATATATATATATATATATATATACATATATATATATATATATATATATATATATATATATATATATATATATATATATATATATATATATATATATATATATATATATATATATATATATATATATATACATATGTGTGTGTGTGTGTGTGTGTGTAAGTGTGCGTGTGTGTGTGGACGTATCGACTTACATAAGCCTTTATTTTAAATAATATGCCACATAAGCGTACATGTATGTTTAGAAGCTTTAATCACTGCAGGCATAATAGCAACGGTGTTTACCTATAAATAATGCAGTTGGAGGTACTATTATTTTTTTCTGTAGTTAGCACGTTTATGTCATGGTGTCACTCCCACCCCCTTGTTATAATTGTTGGTTGGTTCTTAAAAAACTATTTAACTTTAATTAATTAAAGCTTAAAAAGCTACAGGTAAGACCTACAACCTCTGTCCTCGCTACCCCTCTGTGAACACCCAAAGAAAGTTGCGTTATGCCTACACACATCTATTTTTGTATAAATGTGTGTAGTTACCACTACAACACTACAACATCTGACACAATTGTCACAACTTTTTAAAATCACGCCATCTGTAATGAGGAAATTTTAAATAGAAAAGTAACGAAAAAATTCCCACAAGCGATATGTTAAAAACACCCCCTCTAAGAAAATTTTTAGGATAGTGGCACCTTTTTTTTTAGATTAACATAAAACAAGTGAAAACAAGTTCCTCAACACAAATTAATAAACAACAAACATAAAGCAAACATTAGTAATGTATTGTATGTTAGGATGACCTTTCTAAATAAAAAAAAGTATGCAATTGTTAAGACACAAAATAACCTGGGTAAAAATAGTTTAATACACAACAAACACTCGAGAAATGCTCTTGGGTTAGGCCTTATTTAATATTTTTTTTACGCTTGGGTGTATTTCGGTTAAAGCAAATCTGTTCAATTGTTGTGCTGTTATGTGGATGGATGCGGAATGAACATGTAAAACCTGCGCCCCCGCTTTTCGTCGTATTGTTTATGTAATGACATGGTGAACAAGGAGATTAGAAAACGAATATGCTAGTTGTAAATTTGGGAGAGAAAAATGTGTTGGGTAAAACCCGTCCGACCGCTGTTCAAAGCATAACTATCACAATAATCGTCTGTCTGTCTGACACAGAGAAAAAACAAAAGAAAAATAAAAAGTTTCCCAGAAAACTATATATTTACGTTACGTGGAAATAATGGCATTTTATTAAAATGAAACGAAACATCTACTGTTTTAATGCCGGAAAATTACACACAAACAAATAAAGTAATTTATTCCAGTGTAAACACAGAATAAATAAACCGGTAGTGATCTCCCCTAAACTTTCTCGAATATTCTTATATAAAACAACAGGGGATGGTAACTGGGGATATAGTTATGATTTTTAATCCATTTTAAATACTTAAACTTTTAAAAATAGAATAGAATCTCATAAAAAAAACATTGCGCACCAAGCAAACGCCGAATAAAAACGCGTATAATAGTGCGCAATATTATTAGTACTTTAAAAATTTACATTAGTTTTTTGAGAAATCGGAAGTAGCGTAAATTACTACTTCCAGTCAACGGAAATTACTCAAAATTTAACAGAAGGTAGAGAATTAGATCTTTTACTTACATGTGAAATTTCATTTATCTATCTGAAATAGTACTCAAGTTATAGGCTTTTGAAAAATTCAAAGTAGGAAAAGTACCACTTCCGGTTATCGGAAATCGCTCAAAAGTTGATACGGATCTACGATTTTGATAGAATACTTATTTATGAAATTTCATCAACCTTGCTGTAACGGTACTCAAGTTATCGTGTTTACACACGGACAGACACACACACACACAGACACACACACACACACACAGACATACGGACAAGATTGCAAAATTATGTTTTTCCGTATCAGTGAGGTGTAAAACGTCGAGATTTGTAAAAATCTCGATTTTTTTTTTTTTTGCACGATTACAATACTTTCTCTATACTACGTATATACGAGAAAGTAAAAATTCAACACAGACACCAATACACAATAATAATGACGTCATCAATATTTGATAATAGAAACACTAACCTTAGAGAGTAATTTATTGATCTAATCTTAAATAAACCGGGAGTGAACTCGACTATACTTTCTCGAATCCCGGTTCGTGTTGTGTTTTTGTTGTGTTTTTGCTGTGTTTTTGTTGTGTTTGTGTTGTGTTTGTGTTTGTGTTGTGTTGTGTTTGTGTTGTGTTGTGTTTGTGTAGTGTTTGTGTTGTGTTTGTGTTGTGTTTGTGTTGTGTTTGTGTAGTGTTTGTTTGTGTTGCGTTAGTGTTGTGTTTGTGATGTGTTGTGTTTGTGTTGTGTTTGTGTTGTGTTTTTTTGTGTGTTTATGTTGTTTTTGTGTTGTGTGTGCGTTGTGTTGTGGTTGTGTTTGCGTTGGGTTTTTGTTTGTGTTTGTGTTGTGCTTATGTTGTGTTTCTGTTGTGTTGTGCTTGTGGTTCTTTTGTGTTAAGTAGTGTTATGTTATGTTCGTTTTGTTTTTTTGTTGTGTTTGTGTTTTCATTTTGTTCTGTTCTTAAGTTAGTACGTTTAAAAAAGATTCACCGTGGCGGAGCACGTGTATACCACTAGTCTAATATATAAAGTTCAGTTCTGTATGTTTGTAATCGACCATTACAATGACATGTAAGAAAAAACGCTATTTATATGGATTCAAGTGTTAGATTATTAAATTACTCATGGTCTAAATTTATGAGTTAAAAAATTAGTATTGAAAGTCTTTAAAAAGAGTTTTCATTTTACATACTTAGAATGATAATTTTCAATTATGAACATTACACAAAATTTAAAAAAAGAAGTGAATCAACGTTTATAAAATTTTTAAATGTGTCTGAAATGTATTTGCATTTAGTCCTTTAGCGCTCATTATGTCCCTTTATTAGGAAAACACAGTTACTTATATTTAAAAAACATTAAATCGGAAAAGAATTTACTTTATTATTACTTTGTTTTGGTGTTAGAAAACTTTTTACATAATATGCGGGGATTGATTAAGTGCAAAGTCCTTGGTATTAATAATACTGCCTTTTATTTATTCCATACACTGAACGTACTGCTTTCTTCTTATTTTTTTAAATCAAAGACAGGTGAAGTAAAAAAATACATCTTTATTCGGGAACGTGAAATCCCGCAGGTTATTATTTGTCTTTTTTTGCGCATTCGTTTCGTCTGTCCTTTTTTAAGCACGAAAGGGAATTCGTGTTTGTAAAACCCGTCCAACCGCTGTTCAAAGCATAACTATCACAATAATTGTCTGTATGTCTGACACAGAGAAAACACAAAAAAAAAATAAAAAGTTTCCCAGAAAACTATATATTTACGTTACATGGAAATAATGGCAATTTATTAAAACGAAACGAAACATCTACTGTTTTAAAGCCGGAAAAGTACACACAATAAAAGTCATTTATTCCAGTGTAAACACAGAATAAAAAATTCAACACAGACACCAATACACAATAATAATGACGTCATCAATATTTGATAATAATAACACTAACATTACAGAGTAATTTATTTATCTAATTTTAAATAAACCGGGAGTGAACTCGACAAAACTTTATCGAATCCCGGTTTGTGTTGTGTTTGTGTTGTGTTTGTGTTGTGTTTGTGTTGTGTTTGTGTTGTGTTTGTGTTGTGTTTGTGTTGTGTTTGTGTTGTGTTTGTGTTGTGTTTGTGTTGTGTTTGTGTTGTGTTTGTGTTGTGTTTGTGTTGTGTTTGTGTTGTGTTTGTGTTGTGTTTGTGTTGTGTTTGTGTTGTGTTTGTGGTGTGTTTGTGGTGTGTTTGTGTTGTGTTTGTATAGTGTTTGTGTTGTGTTTGTGTTGTGTTTGTGTTGTGTTTGTGTTGTGTTTGTGTTGTGTTTCTGTTGTGTTTGTGTTGTGTTTGTGTTATGTTTGTGTTGTGTTTGTGTTGTGTTTGTGTTGTGTTTGTGTTGTGTTTGTGTTGTGTTTGTGTTGTGTTTGTGTTGTGTTTGTGTTGTGTTTGTGTTGTGTTTGTGTTGTGTTTGTGTTGTGTTGTGTTTGTGTTGTGTTTGTGTTGTGTTTGTGTTGTGTTTGTGTTGTGTTTGTGTTGTGTTTGTGTTGTGTTTGTGGTGTGTTTGTGTTGTGTTTGTGTTGTGTTGTGTTTGTGTTGTGTTTGTGTTGTGTTTGTGTTGTGTTGTGTTTGTGTTGTGTTTGTGTTGTGTTTGTGTTGTGTTTGTGTTGTGTTTGTGTTGTGTTTGTGTTGTGTTGTGTTGTGTTGTGTTTGTGTTGTGTTTGTGTTGTGTTTGTGTTGTGTTTGTGTTGTGTTTCTGTTGTGTTTCTATTGTGTTTCTGTTGTGTTTCTGTTGTGTTTCTGTTGTGTTTGTGTAGTGTTGTGTTGTGTTTGTGTTTGTGTTTCTGCTGTGTTTGTGTTGTGGTTGGGTTTGCGTTTGGATTTGGTTTGTTTTCGTTCGCTTTTTCGTTTGTTTTTTCTTTGTGTTTGTATTGGTGTTTGTGGTTGTGGTTGGGTTTGTTGTTAGGTTTTTGTTCTCGTTTGTATTTGTAATTGTGTTTGCGTTTTTTGTTTTTGTTTTGGTTGGTTGTGGTTAGGGTGGGCAATGCCTGGTATAGATGATTACTAAACACACAGGTAATGGTCCTTAACAGATAGGTTTTTCAAAGAGGCCAGAGCAGGGCCTGGCCGGGACGGCTAGTCTAATATATAAAGTTCAATTCTCTATGTTTGTTTGTAAAACGTTTGTTTGTCGTGGTTTACTAAAGGACATAAGAAAAAACGATAACTGTGTCAAGTTTTAAATGTCTAAAGTGCTCATGGTCTAAATTTATGAGTTAAAAAATTAATATTCAAAGTTTCTTAAAACACTTTTCATACTTAAAATAATAATTTTCAATATGCACATTAAATAATTTTTTTTTTAAATGTATCAACGTATACAAATTTTCTAATTGTGTCTGAAAAGTATTTGCATTTAGTCCTTAAAAATAGAATAGAATCTAGTACAAAAACTATTGCACACCAAACTCATGCTTTAAAATGTCATACCATAATAGGACCACCAACAATATGTGAGAATGTCATGCAATGCCATACTTACCCATCGCGTATGGATGTCATGCAATGCCACACCTACCCATCGCACTGGGATGTTATGTTATCCCATACCCGTCCAAACACACTAAGTTAGTACCTCTAATACGTCTCACTGTCAGACACCCCCATCCCCTTCCCTACCCACACACCACTACATGATACACACTTCCAGACCCCACCCCCTCACTATTTACATTGCTACATACCCAAATATTAAAAACAAATATTACACTCTACCAGAAAAACTTTCTATTTGTTATATAAAACAATATTATGTTATAGCTTGCTAGTTTAACATCGACGCGATTTAACTGTTTGATTTTGTGGTTTAAATCCAGACGTATGATTTAACTTTGAGTAGGCATCATCGTCAACAGTGGTAACGCTGTTTTATCTATGTTTTTGCCCTCTTCTCCTTATAATATACCTTCATCGAATTCAAAATCACCAACTTTCTACCCATCAACCCTAAAAAGCCGCATACAATCTTCCTAATAAAACTAACCAACATCAAATGAAGTTCACTAGTATTGTTTATGTTTTGAAAATTTAAAGATTTAAACACATCTGCTATGTCAAATTACTCGGACACACCAACTCGTCCCTAGTGCAATCTGGCATTCAATATGGTGCTCTTTTGTGTCGATTATCCTTTTTTTTAATTCAAAACAGGGGAGAAAATCACACGCAATTACCTTTTCAGCCTTATTACGGTAGCTTCCCTTCCTTCATAGTCTACGACGACAGTTAAGAAATGATGGCAAACAGATAACAGATCTTGTTCACTCCCCTTGTTTTCAAATTGTCATATTTGTAATTAAACAAATGTAAACAACTTTTATATTAACAAGCTTTTAAATGCACTGAAAAAAAAGAAAATGAACAACCACGCATCTATAATAACAGTTTCACTCTCTGTCTGGCTATCTATCTATCTATGTATCTGTCAAAACGCTTTTAATATAGACTATAGAGAAAACACAAGCAGAGTAAAAACATGCATAGTAATTCGAGAAACGAAACGTGACGTCACATGGAACATAGAGTAGGAGTAGGAACTTTTCTAAAGAAGGGAAATTATAAACTCTAATATGACGTCGTTGAATTTCGAGTAAACATTGAAGTAAAAAGCCAATGCTGTCTAATCTTAAAAGTGGTTTGGCGTAAAGAGTTTCTTTCATGCATCTCTTCGGGTAGGGGCAAAGCCCCACCCCAGGTAGAACATCTAAGCCCACCCCACCCGCCCTCAAGAAAATGACGTCATCGATACTCTATACTAACATTACGGCCTAAAATATGTATCTAATGTTAAAAGTGTTTTGCGTCAAAAATTTCATTCATGGTCGTACGTCTAAATCCCATGCACAAAAGAACGTCAAATCCCTCGAACAAACCACCCCCCCCCCCCTCCCCGAAAAAAACTATTATAATTTATATAGAAAATAAAATATACATTTACCAGTGCCGGACTGGTAATCGCACTGATTCTTCCGGGAGGATTGGGGGGCTACAGGGGAGCGGACTTACCCCTGCAACACAGATGATATACAGTTGCTGGCTTACACAAATCCCCGCCCTAAGCCGACACATACTTCACCACACAGGACTGGGATCAAAGGACTTGGGTCTACAGAAATTCTTTATTTTCTCATGTTTGGTCAGTATAAAAATACATTTTTTACGTGTAACATAAAAATATAAACTTTTGTTTAGATTTTGAAAGACTGTCCTGAAGCTAAGTAAAAACATGTGTAGAGATGTTATAGAAGTAAAAGTATTTTGAATTTAGATATGTGTAATTGTTGTAAAAAAATTTAACATTCAAGTAGCAAATATAATAAATTAATGCAATTTCGGTGCATAAATAAGTAAATAATTGTGTTAAAAAAAGCAATGTTTTTGTAATTGTATCTATACTTTTAAAAAATAGTGAATGTTTGTGGCAGATATGTTTGTGCATTTGTTGGTGGAAGACTTGCACAAAGTAAAAAACTGTAATAGTTTAGCATTGTGATATATTACTGAAAATATTTTCTTGTATTGATGACAAGAAAATATAAAATATTTTGTAATCATAAAATGTTGGTGAATACGTAGTTCAAGGGTTATAAGAAGTTATTGTTTGCAGGTAAAATTGTATGTTAAGATACCTGTTGACCCAGTTAATTGAATGGTTTTTATAATAAATCGCAGTTGTATAAAAAAAAACATTGCGATTGGGTATTGGTGTGTTGTATGCTAAATCTGTCCCCGCTAGAGCTAACATAGAACTGATTCACTTTATTAGGTTAATTATGTGAGCTAATTTACAAAAACACTTTAGGGCAACGAGACAAAACAATATACAGATTCGTGTTTTGTAAAGTGTTAAAATCAAATTTAGCTAAGTTATTTTTCATTGTAATAACAATTTATGACGCAGGGACACATATACGGAGACACTGTAACAGTTACCAAATAATAGAAACACAGTAAGGATCCAGCAACGTCACTGTAACGACACTGTAACGACACTGTAACGACACTGTAACGACACTGTAACGACACTGTAACGACACTGTAACGACATTGTAACGACACTGTAACGACACTGTAATGACACTGTAATGACACTGTAACGACACTGTAACGACACTGTAACGACACTGTAACGACACTGTAACGACACTGTAACGACACTGTAACGACACTGTAACGACACAGTGACAAACAGAAAGGCAAACAATTTTAACACAATGAAGAACGTAACTAGTAACTAAACGAGTCAAGAGATTGATTGACAAGTCGTATAGATTAAAATTTTGTTTATTAAAGCTTGTATCATTGCTAATGTACAACAATATTGACAATTGATTATTATCAATGGGCATTTTAATTTTTTTTAAATTTAAAATTTTTAAAACTGACCTTCCGTTTTCAAGATGATTGGGAAATATAAAGGTGCTACAAGCACACATCACCACTTCACCAAAATGAGTAATTAATCATTGTTCTTGAATCTGCACTTTTTGTGTGCTTAGTTTTTGTAATATGCTACTAAGTTTAGATACAATGTTCATTTCCATGAAAGTCAGAATAAATAAAATGTTAAATTCTATTTTCCTCCTAGTTGTGGTGTGCATGTTGAAAATTATTAAGATCCTGTTCAGATACAATAATATAAATAGCATATTTCTGGGTGATACTTTCCCGAATGAAACATATATATATATATATATATATATATATATATATATATATATATATATATATATATATATTATTAATATATATATATATATATATATATATATATATATATATATATATATATATATATATATATATATATATATATATTATATGACTATAAAATAAAAATGGTACCTACAATTTTGAAAAACTTAAATATTACAATACATAAACCATATAACAGATTTAAAGTAGCAAAAAATCTAATGCATTTTACATGCTCGTGATAAAAAAGCGATAGACTGTCATGAAAATGCTGGTTTAGTTTGAAGCCAAGGACAAGACTGTCCTACCCAGGAGCAGTGACGTCAACAGTATGACATTCCAGAGCACAGCTGTGTGGCCTAAGATTAGAGGGAAATATGTCAAATATATTTTCAATAAACATACAGCCGGGCTGGATTATAAAATAATTAATTATGTCTTCTATTTATGCTACTTTTTTGTTTCGGCTAAGGTATCAGCCAACTTGTGTGTCGTCTGTCAATAGAGTTCATTTTTTCTTTTGCGAGGTCTGAAAATTCATATTTAGTCTGACATTTTCTTGTATTTGATCTTACATTTTCATATATTTGGTTTGATATTTTATATTTTGTCTGGCATTTTCCTAGTCGTATGTATTGGTTACACAACTATAGCAGTCCAGTTTTATAAAAGTTTTCCTGGTATTTAAACTATTTCAAATCTTATACGTGTAAGGTAGGGAGTACACCGTAAAAGAATACATCACTCATTGCTTTTTAATGCATTAAAACAACTAACCCTAACTTGAGTTGAAAGTGTGACTACACTTACACCTACAATGTACATGGCAATCCGAAGTAAAACCAGTGGAGATTTTTAGTCACCCGAGTTTTGTGGTAAAGAACATTGTTTAATTAGTATGAAATTACTTAATGAATTTGTCATGCAAAAGAAGCCCAATAAAACATTTGTAAAAGACGCTCAAGAAATCATATGCATATTATACTTTAGTAACATTTAGTAACTTTAGATCTTTGTAAAACCACGCAAGGTAAAACAAGTAATTTAAAAAGTTTAGTGACAATTTTAGCGCAATTTCCTATACTTTAGTAACATTTAGTAACTTTAGATCTTTGTAAAACCACGCAAGGTAAAACAAGTAATTTAAAAAGTTTAGTGACAATTTTAGCGCAATTTCCTTATGTTATCTAAAAATAGCTCTGTCGTAGCGTAAATCAAGAGCAGGGTTAGTAAAACCATTGGTTAGTTATTAAAACGTTTTTTATTAATTTTTTTTTCAGTATTTTACATGTTTTATTTACAATAGAGTAACATGACTAAAAACCATTGCGCGCCTAGCTACCGAACGTGATGGCGCAGCTATTGAACGTGGTGACGCGTGTGGTGTGGTTGGATAAAATGCCTACTAATTCGGTCCAAATTTTAATTAATTCAAAAAAAAATTTGTGACCGAACGAAAGGATATTTTTGAAAACTTTCTTCTGCAATATTGTTCTAAATTATGGCAGAAATCGATTGGTACATGTTTCAAGTCGCTAAGTGGTCTGGTTGCTGGGATATGGGCCAAAAACTGCATTTTTTTCGAGGTTTTTTGTCTTTTCCGGGAAATCCATGAAAGAAACCCGGAATTTTTTTGGCCTATGTTTATCCCGGTAACTTGCTTAACATATTTGCTTTGGAACTAGTCCTCGATATTGCTTCGTTGAGGAGGAGATACGACTTAAAGCTGCGGACACACATCCATCCATCCATCCATTCCCAGAAAAGACGAGTTAATAAACGCAATTCTCCAGAATGGAAATTGCGCTAAAAATTCTTATCGTTTTTTCTCGTTTTTGCACAAAACACACTGAGCAGATGAAGTGGATTTTATCTGTTTCAATGACCTGAGCACGCATGGGGATAGTGTGGTCAGTTTTATGCCCAGGCACATTTGCTGCCCTAACGTGAGTCACGTGCCCATAAGAGCTGGGTCGGTCTACATGTTCAAGCTCTACCATCGCACCCTAATAGTCCCATAAGCTCAAATATATTTAGGTTAAATTAACCACATTGTATAACATTACGTAAAATAACTTATATTATAAAACCCTAAAATACAATTTCTTCCTGTAAACAAGTTTAAAAATAACTTCATGTAAACAAGCTTTAGATTAAATAAATTAAACTTAAATATCTTACCTGTGCTAAAGGTGAAAGAAGTTGTTTTTTTGTAAAGTCCAGTAACGTGTTTTGCAGAGCAAGTACATGGGATACTGCGAACGCTGCTGGTGTAGGTGAGGTTAAACACCTCACTGTACTTGTTAATTGTAAATGTATTACCATCACATGCCATGGTGATATTTGACACTTTTGGGTTTCCACCTTCAACAGTACATTCGATAGCCACAGAACTCCTGGATGTGTTAAGTTGAATCGTCTCACCTTCTTTCACAATTTTGTTGTATACAACAACCACGGGGGGTTGGTCGGGAGGGTATAGGGTAGCTGGAAGAAAATTTGGATATATCCGATACATTGATTAAAAAAAATAGTTGTTTGTCTTTACAAGAGTCTGTTCGCCCGAGAGAATTATGGGTGTTCACTTACTTACTGACCTTCATTGTAATTATGAGCGTCGATTAAAATATCAGCAGCAGTTGAAAATATGGGTATTAACAAAAATTATGGGCATTAACTATAATTGTTGGTATAAACTAAATTATGGGCATTAAATGAAATTATTGGCGTCCATTGACTTGTGGGCTACCGATGGGATTTTTGTTTTCAATGCAGATTATGCAACCGCGCTCTCGATTAAAATTATACATTAACGTACATTAACGAACAAACACCACCACCGACCCCCCCCCCCCCACCCCACCCCTCCCCGGGCTTCACAGGGGCTGAGATAAAAAGACCATGTCAAAAGACATAAGCTCTTGTCAAATAAATGATAAGGCTGTAGATTAAGCGACAGCAGCATATAAAGACCTTGCTGTTCAATAGCTTTCATTAAGCACCAGCTGAAATTTAAGTGGTTTTTTAAAAATATGAAGCTTCCACAACTCATCAAGTATTTTCCTTTGATCAAACTTGCTAAAAACATTACATTGTCGCTGCTTCTTAGGGCTCCCACATAAACTTAGTTCTTTCTTGACGGTTAACTCTTGCAGTAGCAACTCCCTCTCCCCCACTCTCGAATTCAGGTCGAACTATATCTTGTATATATATATATGAACACGTTTCTGGTCCTTATTCAGATATGTAGCCTACGTGACGTCATCAGTCATGATATTTGTCAATCTTTCAAACTACAACGGCTTTTAGAGGGTTGTAAATTTTATTTACGCGTCAGCATTATTCTATAAACGCATACAAGTCGATAAATATGTTTCAAATCATAACCGAAGTTTAACCTATATCTAATTTTGGATTTTAAACTTTAATTCCCAATTTGGGCAATCTAAACATCCACATCTCCTCCAAACATCTGCATTCCAAGATTTGGAAAAGTTAAAATCCTTCTCCAATTCATTACTTAAATAAGAAGTTTATTTTCCACCTGAATTCCAATGTTTTTATTTGATCTACTTTTGTACTAACAATAAGACACCGCAATGTGTTGCCAATTATTGTGGATATCTAAATCAATCTACTCCTGAAGTAAACTAGACCATGAGTTATACAAGACAGTAAGCACAAAAACTTTATGATAGACCTTACCGTCAGCGGCAGATGAAACAGCCACACCTTGATGGAAAAAAAAACATATTTTTTTTAGAAAAGATATGATTTAAAAAGTATTGTTAAAAACAATTGCACTTTAAGAAAGCCTTTACATTTTTTTACATGTGTGGTTTTTTTTAGGGAAGGGGCCGTGGGGGGAGGAGGGGGGAAGGGGTGTGTGGGTTCAGAATTTTGTGTTGAAGTATGACAAGAGTAATAATAATATTAGAAAATAAATTTTAGTTTTTAGTAGGTGGGTGGGGGGATCTAGCTATCGTGACGTTGTGCACAGAGGCATAGCGACGCCTCCCGTCGCCCGGGGACATACTTTCCATTTGGCGCCCCCCCCCCTCTCACAATTGTTTTGTATTTATAATTCAAATTTCCACCCCTAGGACATATGTCCGTCCGTCCCCCCCCCCCCCCGGAAAGCCTAACGTCATATTTGGATGGCCAATATATGGTCTTAAGCTAATTAACATAGTAGGTACTTTTCGGAAATTAAAAAGTCAAAACTTACTCGACATAAGAAAAACCGTCGCCACGGCCGAAAGTACGTTCAGATGCATGTCAGCGTCTTTTTCAACAAACTGAAATTACATTTTTCTTTTGTTAACACACATTCATTATATATGTTAGTACCTTATCAATAAATAAACAACTTTCAAGAAACTTTACTAAGTTATACTTCTGTTCCGTTCTGAGCTTTCTACACGTCCAATATTGACGGGAGGTTCTAGAAAACACTTCACCGTCTCCTGTATTTATTCCAGCTCTGAAGTTGAAATGTTAAACTGTTTATCCAGCGCCCACCTTATTAGTGCATGGAAAATTTTTAATTCTGGGAATCAGACCCACCTACACATATTTAACCCAACCCCCCCCCCCCCCCATTAAGCTTTGGATTTTAAAAATTGTTTTTTTTATATATACTTAGATAAGTTATAATTAGCTACGTTTCTTGTTACAGGGTGAAACAGTTTTATCGTTGGGTTAGAATTTATTTGTTGCTTCAGCTCAGTGTGTCACCATTCGCAACGAAGGGTGCATTCAAATCATTACTTCCTCTGGGCGTCAGTCACAGGACCGTATGGGCTATAGGGCTGGTAAGTAGGTCACCAACCAGTACTATGGCTCATGCAGGTTTTATTGAGCCGTAGAACTGGTTGGTGACCTACTTACCAGCCCTATTGGGCTTCATTAATGTGGGAAAGAAATATTTTCTCTAAAAGAATTATCTTGGTTGTTTAGTTGTTGTACAGCTGACATCTATCGTGTGTAGAATATAATTGTATTAAAGTATATAAAACAACGTGGTTAATTAATTTTTGTTGTTGTATTTTCTTTATGGTTAGAATTTTAAGCTGATAAACCCATCAGCAACGAATCGGAATTATATAAGGCAGTTCATCTGCAGAAGCTTTATGCATAATTCGTGTATTACTTTGACATTTTGTAAAATTTTAAAATTTTATATTTTAGTACTGAAAAGCACTGCATGGTGCGATGTTTACTTTTATGGTTCCAAAATCTATAGCGATGACAAAAGGAAGGAAGGACTGACACACTACTTGGCCGCTTATATTATAGATTTCAAGGATAGTGGCGCCTTTTTTTTTAGATTAACTTAAAACAATTGAAAACAAGTTCCTCAACACAAATTAAAAAGCAACAAACAAAAGCAAACACATTACTGAAACTATGCATTACAACTGTCATGTTATGTACCCTAAATATCATATTTTTTACAAGTAAATCTATAGCTACTTTTTGGCGTACTTATCAGAGCCGAGCTTAGCGATAGGCACGTGCGGAAGCTTTTTTGTCAATTTTGTCAACACAATGTCTGTCCACTTTAGCGCCTGTACATCTGCTGTTTGTGTTATTCCCGCTGAATATAGACCGTCAACCACTTACAAATCGATCATAATTCACAAGTGTAGGTTTTGCTTTAGTTGCCGGCTCAATTCAGCCATCCCTCTTTTATATGGACAAGGGTCGATTTTGCGCAATAGTCGATCCTGTGAGCGCTATGGGTTTGTGTTTGTGTTTGCTTTTGCGTTGTGTTTTCTTTTGTATTTGTCTGTTGCATTTGTTTTTGCGTTTTTGCTAGTTTTTTGCGTTTGTGTTTGCATTGTGTTTGTGTTTTCTTTTTCTTTTGTGTTTGCGTTGTATTTGTGTTTTCTTTTGAGTTTGTGTTTTCTTTTGTGTTAGAGTATTGTATTTGTGTTTGCGTTGTTTTTGGGTTTGTGTTCCCTTTTGTGTTTGTGTTTGTGTTTGGGTTGTGTTTGTGTTTAGTTCTGTTCTGATCCCAAGTTGGTACATTTAAAAAAGATTCACCGTGCCGGAGCCCGGGTATGCCGCTAGTATATATATATGTATATATATATATATATATATATATATATATATATATATATATATATATATATATATATATATATATATATATATATATATATATATATTGTACATTATTTTCAACGAAATTGCTCATTTCTGTCAAAGTGTGACAACATAAACAGTTTTCGTATTTTGATCAATAGTGATGTATATTTAGCTTTCATTTTTACACATATACATTTTAAGATTTTTTAATCGGAGGTTTAACTGATTTTTATATATTCTTTTTTTACTTGCTATTTTTAGTTCGCAACGTCTGTTTGTTTGTTTGTGGGTTTGTTGCAAATCTTGAAACTCATTTTTGGCACCGTTCTAAAGCAGCGACTTCGTTCAAACTTTCCAAATACGTTCTATTTTGATATATGTCTACTTTTTAAAAAGTTTAGATGTTTAATTAGTCATTAAAATTAATTTTATTGTTAGGTGATAGATTTAGGGCTGGAGATTAGGCATTAGGGCTATGTTTATTTTTAGGGTTGAGATTAGGTTTTAGAGTAGGACCAAAAATAGAGCTGGACTGCTAACCCGTAAGTCTCTAGTTCGAATCCGGGTTCAAGTCGTAGAAACGTCCCTGAGTCCACCCAACTCTGATGGGTACCTAACTCATGTTGGGGAACGTAAAGTCGGCTGGGCATAGTGCTGACCACACTATCTCTTCATATGTCCAGGTCACAGACACAAGTGAACTCTACTTCACTTGCCCTATAGACCGTCAGTTTTGAAAAGGGGACTTTGGTTTTTGCAAGAATAGTCTAAGAAAGTAGTAATAATAATATTGTAATGAGAGCAAATATTAAGAATTATAACTGAGTTAATTAAATGAACATTAATTTTTGCATCAACTGTGAGAGGATGTAAGCACAGTGTTTATTCGACAGCCCATTTTAAAATAAACACGTTGCTTGTTTAGTTATTTGTTGACCCTAATACGTACTACAATTTCAACAACTTTCGAACCTAATGTAGAAATAGGAAAGTATTGTATGTTAGGATGAACTTTCTAAATAAAAAAAATCTGCACTTGTTAAGACACAAAATACCCTGGGTAAAAATAGTTTAATACACAACAAACACTCGAGGAATATCCTTGGGTTAGACCTTATTTAATTTTTGTTTACGCGTGGGTGTATTTCGGTAAATGCAAATCTGTTCAATGGTTGTGCTATCATGTGGATCGGTGTGGAATGAACATGTAAAACCCGCGCCCCCGCTTTTCGTCGTATCGTTTACGTAATGACATGGTGAACAAGGACGTACGTTGGGAGATTAGAGGACGGATATGTTAGTTGGAAATTTGGGAGAGAAAAATATGTTGGGTAAAACCCGTCCAACCGCTTTTCAAAGCATAACTATCAAAATAATCGTCTGTCTGTCTGACACAGAGAAAACACAAGAAAAATAAAAAGTTTCCCAGAGTGATCTACCCTAAACTTTCTCGGATCCCGCTTTGTGTTGTGTTGTGTTGGTGTTGGTGTTGTGTTGTGTTTGTGTTGTGTTTGTGTTGTGTTTGTGGTTGTGTTTGTGGTTGTATTGTGTTTGTGTTGTGTTGTGTTGTGTTGTGTTGTGTTTGTGTTGTGTTGTATTGTGTTTGTGTTTGTGTTTGTGTTGTGTTTGTGTTGTGTTGTGTTTGTGTTTGTGTTTGTGTTGTGTTGTGTTTGTGTTTGTGTTTGTGTTTGTGTTTGTGTTGTGTTTGTGTTGTGTTTGTGTTGTGTTTGTGTTGTGTTTGTGTTGTGTTTGTGTTGTGTTTGTGTTGTGTTTATGTTGTGTTTGTGTTGTATTTGTGTTGTGGTTGGGTTTGCGTTTGAATTTGGTTTGTTTTCGTTTGATTTTTCGTTTGTTTTTTCTTTGTGTCTGTATTGGTGTTTGTGGTTGTGGTTGGGTTTGTTGTTAGGTTTTTGTTTTCGTTTGTATTTGTAATTGTGTTTGCGTTTTTTGTTTGTTTTTGTTTTTGTTTTGGTTGATTGTGGTTAGGGTGGGCAATGCCGGGTATATAATGAATACTAAACACACATGTAATGGTCCTTAACAGATAGGTTTTTCACAGAAACCAGTAGAGTAATCACACACACACACACACACACATTTGTTGTTTTACACAGATTTTATTGACATATGTAAAATAGAAAATTTTAAAAATAGATAAATAAGTAAATGAATAAATATTCGAAACTGATGTTTTGTTGCGGGGGGGGGGGGGGGGGGGGCAGGTGGGGTCGTTGGAACAGTTAAAAGAGATGTGGGGTTATCATATCTGATTGTTGTTTTATTTTTGTTTTTTTTTTTTTAGAAAAAAATTAAAAATTCTTAGTTTTTATTTTTTATGAAAACATATTACAACAACACATCATTTGTGTAAGTGCTAATAGTATGTTTTCCCTTCTTTTTTTTTTATCATATAAAAAAATCATATCTGATTGTGATGTTTGTCTGTAAAATGTTTGTTTGTCGTGGATTACTAAAGGATTTAAGAAAAAACAATACTTCCTTAGTGTCATGTTTTAAATGTCTAAAGTGCTCATGGTCTAAATTTATGAGTTAAAAAATTAAATTGAAAGTTTCTTAAAACAGTTTTCATTTTCATACTTAGAATAAAAATTTTCAACATGCACATTAAATAATTGTTATTTTTAAATGTATCAACGTTTACAACATTTCTAAATGTGTCTGAAAATTATTTCCATTTAGTCCTTTAGTGCTCATTATATCCCTTCAATAGTTAAACACAGTTACTTCCCTTTAAAAAATCATTACAGCGGGGGAAAAAGAATGTACCTTTTATCGCTTTGTTTTGGCGTTAGGAAAAAAAATAATCACATAATTAGCAGGGATAGATTACTGAAGGGCAATGCTGTTGGTATTTTTAATACTGCCTTTTATTTATTCTATGCACTGAAAGTTATGATTTCTTAATATTATTTCTAATGGGGGAAGGCTACGTTAGAAAACAGTAATTTCTTTACAGTTTTATTAAGATACATCCGCACTTCCACAAAGAAAATTCGTGGAAAAAACTTGGTAACTATAACAACGGCGGCCATCTTGAAAAATTAACCCCTTTATAGGTTTTCCACCATTCATAAAATATTATATTTTAAGCCCAATAAACAATCAATTTATAATCTTCTTCCATATTTTGAGGCACTCAGCTAAAAATTTTAAGTGCATATCATCAAACTAATTTTTTATGAATTTTCAAATTGTGGGTCCGTCAAAAACACTAGTTTTAATGCCCCAAAATTCCCCAAAATTAAGTGTTTTGAACGAACCCAAAGATTCACCGTGGCGAAGCACGGGTATACTGTTAGTATTCTTATTAAAACAAAAGGGGATGGCAACTCGGGATATAATAGACATGATATTTAATCCATTTTAAATACTTAAACTTTTAAATGTAGAATAGAATCTCTTACATAAAAAATTATTGCACACCAAGTGAACGCCA